CAGCTTCCTGCGGTGGGGAGGTGGGGCTGCCTCTGAGGGAGGGTTGGAGTGGGTTGGACCCTCTCCCCTCCATGTCAGAGCCCCTCAGCAGCACCTCTGGGCCCCTCTTCCTCCCTGCACCTCCCTCCTCCCTCTCTCTTTTCCTCTGTACATCTCTGACTCGAAAAGCTTTTTAAAGGGTACAGGAGGGCGATGCTTGCCTGAGTTGCAAATTTCTCTGGCAGAAAGGGGTCAGGGGTGGAAAAAAATGCAGAAGCCCTGACTTAGAGGGACCTGACCCCGTTCAACTCACGGGCCCTCTTGTAAACTGAAGCTCTTTGTCCGTTCCAACCGCCTGTGCTGCTTGGGGGGTGGCGACGTGGCCCTTGTGGGGTCCCTCATCCTGCTTCCCTCCCAGCCCCTCCTGCTGCCTCCCTCATCCTTAGGTTTCCAGATCTCTCAGAATGCTGAGCTCCGGATGGCCAGGCCCTTCTGACTGCGGGCTCCCTGGTAATGGAAACGTTCACTGGGGGCCTTAAGGCCGCACTCCCGTGTCACCCCGCCTTCGCTGAAGCCTCCCATGTCATCTCAGAGTCTCGGCTTGGCTCTACGGGACAGACACCTTTGTGCTTGTCCCACCACACCAGCTTGCAGGCCACTTCCCTGGTGGACTTGGCGTGATCCACGGCCCTGGACGTCCAAGTCCATGTGAATGGAGCACTGACTTCAGACGTTAGTATTCGTAATGGACACTGAGGTGGTTTTCATGTTGTCTGAGGGGAAGGTGGTCATTGTCTTGTATGCGGCAATGCATGTTGAGTGGGAGAATAGAATCCCAGGGGCCTCGAGGCAGATGGGTGCTGGGGACATAGATGGGTCAGAGGGACAAGGGAGATAAGAACCAGGATGTTTTGAGGCCAAGGGTGGGCAGCTCTGGGCCATCTTCAATGGGACATCAGGGAGTGGAAGGGCCAGGGGGTCAGCCAGGTGTAGCAAGCATTTTCCAGCGGTCATTGTCTCGCGTTACTTACCTCAGGAAGCATTTCATGGTGTACCTGAGAGGGGATGCTGGACAGCCAG